AAGATCACATACGAGCGGACTGTTCCATTTAATACCAGTGAAGATAAATTATCGAAACTGGAGATGGATAACGCGCTTAACCCACGTTTGAGACCAGAATTCTTGGCTCCTTACTTCACCATCGCTGCCGCCACCGCTACCGCACCATCACCACCACCACCCCTGCGCATCGAGCAATACTGTGCTATTAAATGCCACTGTCCCGGTCGATGTGCTTTCTACCCTAGCATAGGTCACGTGACCAACGTGCTGGAAGACATGTATACGCTGTACTGTGAAGATCGTTATGGCCCATGGAGTGAAGGAAACAAACCGGTAAGGTGCATTTTCATTCCGGGTACAAATATCCCAATAGTTTGAAAAAGAGAATGATTAAAATTTTGACACAAAGCTGGAAGCATTAAGAAGACAAAGAAGTGACATTTGGCATAAGAAAAGACTAGTGTAACCGCATTGTTTTAACCCGGGACAAGGTCGCTGATACACAGTTTTCTACCTATACTAAATTGTCAAAAAACCGGATGTAAACTCCACTTCATTTCCTCTGTAATTCAACCAACACTAACCTTCTACTAACAGTAAGATTTACTCCCATCATCCAGTCACACTTTCAACTACCGTCGTCGTCGTTGTTGTTGTTGTTGTTGTCAAAAAATGTTAACTGACTGACTGTTGATCGCCTACTGGTCAATAACCAGTCGATTTTATCGGGGTGTTAAAATTAGTACAATCGACCTGATTATGATCAGCCGAAATTCCTGTGTATCGTTTTATGCAAACAAATTGGAGTGATTTGTGCGGTTCCGATTTCCGTAGTTCAACAAAACACTTCACTGGAAAAAATTTGATCCGCGAAACTCATTACATACCAAAGGCCGCATATCATGAACTGGGTTCCTTTCGTCCTCCTTCGCGGTCAGTTGATGTCACCACTTGTGTGGGTGTGTGTATTTGCGATCCGCACAAACCGAAAGTGAATGTGTCTTGAGAATGATTCAGTGAAATTAGCTGAGTTAACTACGGACCACCCTCATACAGTCGACCGACCATTTCAATACTACTCAAATGTTTTTTTCTGCATGAAATAAGCAAAGCTGCCAGATAGACAGCAAGACTGCTTGGTCAGGAACTAACCGTAAACTCTGTTGAGAAGACAGAATTCAGACTGTCTGTCATCTACACAGCATACGTCCACCACCCAGGGGGCATGACCACACCCCGACTTCGTTCTCATATTTAGACGTGTACGTATGTTTACCGGCAGATAAAATTGCCTTACTGCTTTCCTGTCCGTGCTAAAAGCAATGAGCAATGGGTTGATGTTGGAAATGTTCAGGGGAAAACTTCATCGGTTGTTGAATGTACTACGTGTGCAAAACAATCGGGTGGATAATCCAGTACTCAGGGTGTGACAACTTTATTTAAAGAACCGCACGGTATCTAATACCTAAAGAAATAAGTTGGACGCTTACCAGATTGTGTATCCGGAACAAATTGCATTTTCTATCCATGAACTGTATTTGGTTTTCCTGCGATCACGTGATCTCATATGTATTCCGTTTCACACCAAGCTGCACCCTCAGGCTCCACAGATCTGCTATCCCGTTTCTTGATTCAGCTGTACACACACACACACACACACACACACAATCCCATACATGAACCTAGCAGTGACTGCTGACGATGAACAAACTTCAAACGCAGTTGATGAAATAGTACTTCAGTTCAGCCTTTGCTGGCGGCGAATCTAAAGTGGCGAATAGATTAAAACTGACCGAATAATTTACGCGTCAACAGAAGATAGCTCAAAGAGCACGATGGTCTCGTTTTGGGTCGACAGAAATAAATGACTGCGTTTAAGGGCTAGAAACGTGATAAGTCGATTCAATACAGATCTTTACTGTTGATGATGTCGATTCTACTAGGGTCCCTGCAAATTTACAACAACAACAACATCATAATTTGNTTAACATTAGTGAGTTCAATTAAGTTGCCTATCCCACTTTAATCAGTTAATAATGGTTCCCTACAAATCTGTCTCTCCCCCCCCCCTTCCTTTATGTCCTCCAGAGGTCACCCAGGGTCGTTCGGGTCTGTTAAAAGCAATCTCTGAAATGATGCAGTTGCAAATCCGTATATTCACCCCACCCCCTACCCGAGTGAACGAGTGAGGACCGTGGATTTATTTAAGGCAGAGGAATTGGTATCTATCTGGAGCGGAGAGGAAAACAATCTGTATTCTTCACATGGTTAATTTCTGGCAGTTTAATGTAAATTCAATGGTAAACTGTACCCACTAGGGGCACACAATCAGAAATTGATGGGCAGTCGACGGGAACTGAATTGATTTGATTGACTGATGTGCACAAACCTCCGTCTACCCCCTTTGGCCCTCCTGACTGGCCAAGTTTATCCCATTTCCCATATTTTGGAAACAGTTGATGAATAATTTATTCCGTTTCACTTCCAATGAGACAACAAGCTATCCGCGTTCTTCATCGATTTTTACTAACTTATGTTGAATACACGGGAGCAAGCAACAAATAACGAGTGAATGAGACGATGGGATTGAGTAAAAACATACCGCGTATCCGGGACGTCCCACGCGCAGTCTCTCTCTCGCTCTCGCTCGATTACAAGTGTACACGAGGGCTCAAATCCTATTCAATCAATGCATGGAAATTGGTCCAGATGGACGATGATGCATGTGTATGTTGGTTACATGTGAAAAAGATAACCTTAGTTTTTTTTTTAATTCTTTTGTTTTTGATGATGATTCTCTGCATACACAATTTCATTCATGCAGGAAATGATTCAAGAATTGCTAATGAGTAAGTGGAACATGGAATCGGACGACTACAAAGGAACGGGTCGGACAATGAACCTTAGAAGTTGGTGCCGACCAGCAAAAAATAATCACTCGTAGATGACTGGGACTTGCACGTAATCCGCAGCTCGAGGACACAATCTAACTTGAAGAGAGAAAAATGTAGGTCTTGACCTGAGCTAGAGAAAAGGAGAGTGGATACGAGCAGAATGTGCATAGGCTCCGCTAATCGCCTGTGGATCCGTTTTGCCACATTATGTCGGAATGATACAGAAATACAAGCCTTTCACTTGTACTACACTCAGTTATACAGCTGTTAGGGTGCATTCATTGACAACAAGTCCCTCGTGGGTCATCCATTCCTGGGTACTCCTTAAAATCTAGATTCAATTTATTTGCTTTGCCAGCTTTCACATGCTTCTTTCGCATAATCATTCCATGAGCTACGCTTTCTGCTGCTATTATTAAAACTACTGCAAATAATGATAACATTTAGCAATGTCAGTTGAGAAGTACTAAATGGAATAGTTTATAGTTCGTCTACCTAAACACCCGTGAGAACGGTTTCCTACCTCTACCCCGCAGATTTTCTCCGTACCTGTGCGACTGCGGGCAACACAATAAATTGTTTTTGACATTAATACGTTAATAGAGTGAAAAACCTTCAAGACAATATTTCCATTGCTCAGCTTTTAATACAAGGAAGATATGAATGAGTACGCGAAATCATATTGTGGCAATATTATTGTATCCCCTGTAGTTCAATGCAAACGAGGCATCTGGTATTGCGTAGGGCGGTCACTGAGTTTGAGAACTTGGATGTATACTTTTATAAATCCTCCAAGAGGTTCCGGAAAACTTCCTCGTCGATGAACAGCCAGTTCCGTTTTAGGGTGGCCTCTGGGTTATCCTTGGATTCCAATATATCATCGAAAAGGGGAAATGGCCACGAATCCTCCCTGTTGGGCTGTTCTTCAATTGTTCTTCGATATTGTATGAGAGCTGTGAAATACGAGATTCTCTTGTGGGAGTACACCACTTACGATATTAGATGGCGTCCACGTGTGTAAGAACGCAGGAATCCAAATCTATAAATGTGATTTGAATGCGTCCATCTACGTTAAATTTGTTTTCACCAATGAAGCAAACGCATTTGGTTTAGCTCGAAAACACGATGTGACTTTCCGTCCATAGTGCACAAGCCTATATCAGAAGCGTTATGAGCAGTATTTTTACGTTTTCTTGTGCCTAATTCACTTTCATCCTCCGAATTCTTTGTGTTGTTTGATTTGATGCATTTAATCCAACGAAACCTTTCATCTTTCAGGCATAACTTCTGAAATTAAACACCAAACTTATTAACCAAAGTTTTCGCTTTTCTTCTGCTGCGACTGCCTAATATATCGCCGCGATCGGGTGCACTGTTTGGTCACTTGGTATAAACTGCACGTTCACACTTTCATTACGTCAGATTTATGTGTCACATGAGTTGCATTTAAGCTACGCTTGCTCACGCGTCCAGTGTTGAGTGCAAAAGGGACGATTCGGGAATGTCCAAAATCTATATTGAGGTTTTGCCGGGGATTGTCGCTCTACGGCTTGTTTTTAACTGAAAGCCTGGATTAGGCTATTTCTGCGGTGGTACTTTTTCTTTTTGTTATGAGGTAATTTGCAGAAAATTCGAATTCAATTCAAATTTATTTGACTATTGTAATTACAACCACAAATGATTACAGTAGTTAACACACAACCTGTGGGGAGGGGATACTGAAATTTTGACGCAGGATGTAGCTCTCCTTAGCCCCGGGATCTTGTTATTGATTTTGCCTTAGTTTATTCAATAGACCCATAATCTTTTTACTAAAATGGCACATATTGTATCTTCTATAGCAACCTTAACGCATTCACAAATCGTCATTTCTGAGCAGAAACTCATATTTATTAGTTTATTCATTCTCATTTGTAACGGTGCTTTGTGTTACATTGCAAATAACTTATCCTTGAATTCACATTTAGAAGGATTCAACTACTGTCCTTCTGGTGTATTGATTCAAACCGCAAGTCCCAAACACCGGTACTGAGTCATCCGTTTCAAATCCATTTACAATTCTATAGGACGACTTTTTCCGCAGGTCTTTTCTCTTCGGGTACTGGTGAATTATAGAACACCTTTCGTACCGTGTCCTTACATCTACTCTACAATTGCTTAGTTTTCAACAGGAACTTTTTCGGTTGCATTCTCCAAGGATGCCCTACACAGTCACTGTACATAAGTGTATCACTTTAGTCCATTGGTTTATCATCATTTGACCTACATATTTATCAACACGTGATAATTGGCTTTAGATGCATTAAAAAAAGAAAGTGAACAGTCACTCAACCTGTTCACGCATTGACCATTTTCCCCAAAGGCGGTGACCACACCCCATCGAAACTAAAAAGGTGTGCATTTGAGAAACATTATTACTAAAATGTGAGACAAGTACATCTGGTTTTCTCTTCGACAATCAACTTATAGGTTAATTAGACATTCGTAGATGAATTTTCCGTAGGTATACTGAGATTATTTCATGATTTTAGTCTTTGTAAATCATCATTGCGTAGCACACACCTCCAAATTGCGATGATCAATCAAGCACACACACGTAAGCTATGCTAAAAATGAAAGTGTCAGTCAAAGTGAAAGTGGAAGTTTAGATAGATAAAATACCAATCTACATCATTATATTCCCATAAGCACTCAGGTTAGCGTCATTCATGTGCGGTCCCCGGATTGGATCATACTTGGGGGCTGTTGTAACTGTATTGGTGTTAGGATACGACGAGATTGATAAAATTATTATGCAATGCATCCAAATCATTTTTCCACTACGCTGTTTACGATAAAATTCAGCCTAAGAATTTCTTTTTTGTTATCCGAACGAACAGAAAACGAAAGAGCCGTAAGTTCGAGGATATTACAGACAGCTTACTTGCAGCCTCTTTTCATTGGTAATAAATAAAACCCCGATATACGATTTTTTCTCTCTAACTCCGCAACTGATGTTAAAACAGTGATACACACAGAAACCCAAATTAGACCAATTAAATTTATCGGAGAAAAAAGAGGTAAAACAAAGAAATAAAGGGTTATTGATGGAATTAGGTAACCAGTCCGAGTGTGGTTATTTCCAGTGGGATGTCGGACACAAGTTTCCAGCCGATTACCGTGTATGATCATCATTTATGATTTTTAAGGAATTTGAATAACTGATCCAGAATCCTCAGCCCAGTTCACATTCACCTTCGTGTTTGACATAAAGTATACAGCTTTCAAGAGCAGAATTTAGGACATCAAAAAATTACACGTATAGATATGTTATTGGTTAGTCTGTCTGTCTCCCCATTTGACTTATGTCTTTTACGACAATTACGATGAGTAATAGTTTCACTTATTTCATCTTTATTTTTGAATGATGCATCATTTGAACCGTTGAATTCCCATGATTACATGATATGACCCTACCAAGTCCACCGGGGTTATTTCTTCATTGGAAAGACGTTACAGATGAGGTTTCGTTTTTCGTTCATCAAGCTTATTCTTAATAAAATGTTAAAAAAACAAATGGGTTTTACGAACCTGGAAAAAAAATTGGTATCTTCGACACAGATTCATCGTGATGCTTGAAACTAGCATATTACTTGACCTCTCTATCCACCGTATTGTGTATCATACAGTTACGCGCATGCGTAAAGCGTGTGCATTAGGGAGCATAAACATACACCGATGCATCGGTGTCTGTCAGTTTTCTAAAAAATGGCCCAATTGGGAATACCAGTCGCTCTATAGTGTACATCTGTAAATTTCAATTACTTAAAGTGTCTGTGTCAGTTAAAAAATTGACCAGGATCGTTGAGAAACTGACTGTTGCGGGGTCTCAGCACTGGTGATACACCTGTGCCCATCTCTTCCCACAATATTATTCACAACGGTTCATCACAGATGTTGAAATGATTAAGTGCAAAATTATTGGAATATCGGAACAATGGAGGAGGAAGGAAGTGCAATTTTGGGGTAACATTCATGGACTCCGTATGAAATCATAAGCGCACCCGAATGCATCTTCGACTCAGCGGATTCCTGTGAACACTGGCGTCATTGTGGAATATAGGCAGAATTTTCCAAGAAAAATGGATCTCAGTATGCACCCTACCCTTAATTTCGTCAAGTTCTTGTTGAACATGCTTGTGCTTTGTAAGCGGAGTCATTTCACATCTTCAAACAAGGATTACCACCATTCATGGAACAGAGCACTGGCGTCCTTTGTGATCATCACACCATGCATTGACCAGCGGGCGGTGGTG